GGAGCATGCCACTGCACTCCAGTCTAGGCGACAGAGTGAGACTCCAACTTAAAAAAAGAAAAAGAAAAAAAGAAAGAAAAGAAAGAAAGAAAGAAAACAAAAAACAAAAAAGAGAGAAAAGTGGGGTCTGTGGACAGTGGTAGTGGTGGGGGAGGAGAAAACAGGCAAATATAGGGGAAATTGGAACCGGACTCTCACATTTTTAGGATGGCAGATCTCTTTCCCAACATCATCCTGAGAAAGTCAGGGTAGCTGAATGTCTCCCCAGAGCCACTGGACACCTCCCCAATTAATTTCTTCAGCTCTAGGTGGGTCTTGGGAACCCCAAGTTTCTCCAGCATTCGCTTCAGGGACATGACATCTGGAGGCAAAGTATGGGGGCGGGTAAAAGAGGGGGAATCTCCCTCCCCTCTCCCCCATGTCTACATTCCCATTCTCCTTCTTCCTACTCTGGTAGGTGGGACCCCTCCCAGACCATGGGGAGTGGAGCACATAGGAGAGACCTCTGTCTTCCTAGGCCTGCAATTCCCCCAAGTCACCCTTTACTCACCGATATCTCCATTTCCATTCAGGTCAAACTCCATGTATTTATCTGGGTGAGGGGAGAAAGCAAAGAGGGTAGGAGCTGGTTGGAGGGTCTTTGGCAGGGGACAGAGGAAGGGGTTGCTGACTAAATGTTAGGTGAGAGAGAGGATATGGAAGGGGGAGGGGCAGGCAGAGGAAGCGGGGTTAGGGTATAGAGGGGGCCTATTAGGGAGGAAGGAACTGGGGGGTGGGTGCTGGGGGTGGCAGGCCAGAAAGATGGGCTACATGGGAAGGGGCAACAAAAGCAGATTCCCCACTTCCTACCACAGAAGTAAATTTTGTGTTTCTGTTGTACCCACCCTGTTCTTGTAAAATTCCTCCCCCCAACTTCAGCCCCCCTCTCCACCCCTGAAGCTTTCCCCTCACTCTTGAAGGCTTCCAGTTTGGAGGACAGATCCTCATCACTGCTATATTTGGGATCATCCAGGAATTGCTGTTGGGGAGAAAGTAAGAGCCAGGGTAAACCCTTCACATCTAGGTCCCATTCCCAGGCTCTGCTCTCTTAATTCTTTCTTTTACCTTGTTGATCTCATCCAGTCTCTCTTCCTGCTGGGCCTTCAGCAGTCCAAAAGCTTTTCCTCCTGTGGGGGCACAAAGGTTAATCAGTTCTCACCCCTCCCTTCCTCCCCTCACCCACCACACCAACTCAGAGACATCTACAGTCTGCCTGCCTAGGCTAGCTCACTGCCCTCCTATTCAACAGCCCAGGTCTGTCCATCTCCTTGCTCCCATCTTATGCTCCTGCCTATTTTGCTCTGCCTACCCTGAAAATCTCTGGTTTGGTTCATAGCTCAGAGATGCTGGCGGAGGTGAGGAGGCAGACCAAGCTGGCGGCCTCTCTGTCTGCAGGCTCTCCTCTGCCACCAGTCTCTTCCTCAGAGGCCTTCCTCCCAAACTTCCCCTTTCCCCTCATTCCTTCCTCTACCTCCAGGCCTCACTTCCCCATCGGCTTCTGCTGACACTAGTAACCCAGGATGAAGGAGGAGTCGGGTGTAAAATGCAGATGAGAAAATAATGTTCTCCCAAATTCCTCTGAAATTAGAGCCCAGTGTGTACATTTTAAAAAATGTTTTGATTAGCTACCAGAGGTGTAGGAAAAAGTAAGACCTTGGGGACATTTATTATCAGGAACAAACAGTCTTTGGATAATTCTGTGGTTCAGGTAACTATGAGGCCTTGCATTTTGTCAGGTTTCTTGAGTCTGTACAGGCAGGTGTGGATAGGGAGCTGAGGAAGGGCTGGCTGAATTTTTCTGCACTGTGGATAGGAGACGAATCTGAAATCTGCTGGCAGCTCAAGGAGGGTAGCAAGATGGACACAGACAGGGCCTAGAGAGGGAGAAAATCTTCACTTCCAGCCCAGTGACTCCAGGGAGGCCCCCAGGGAAATGTAGAAATGTTTAATGAAAAATTTGTATTTGTTTTGCTTTAGGATATGCAGTGTAGCCCTCTCATCTTATATCTCCGTTGACATCTTCAGTAAAATCTACAGAGACCAGGAATTACAGAATTTGAGTAGATACTCTGAAGGAACTGAAAGTGGTACTGAGAGAGAGACAGCATTTGTGGGCACGAGTCAGGGAGTGAAACGGACATCAGGTTTGTGTACCAAGTGTGCGTGTGTGTGTGTATACATGTTTGTGTAATGGTGCTGGTCACTGTGGGTCCAGCAGAGTGGGTGATAGTCTCTGATACATGCCCTTCCTAGACATAAACTTTATTCCCACTGCCACTCTTGTTTGGCCAGGCACTTCTCAGGGTGGTGAGGACAGCACATCTCCCTCACCGAGATGTCTTTGTCCAAACTCCCTGCCCAGGGCTCCATCCACTCTGCCCTGGCATCAGTGGAGACACCTTTCCTTCTTCCCTCCCCCCCAACCTAATTCCTCTTCTGCAGCTGGGAATTTTCACCTCTCACTGCCCTTTTCATGACCCAGGTAGGTGGGGGAAGATGCTGAAGTGGACTCTGATATCTTGACTTCCCTTTATTGCAGCTGCCTCTCCCCCTGGTCTCAGTGCTCCCAATGATCTCAGTGCCTGCTAGGGAGAATTCATTTCTTTATTCATATATTCATTCAAAAAATACTTACTACATGCCAGGCATGCTTCAGGTCAAGCAAATGAAAACTAGCAAATGAAAACTCTTATCCTCATGATCAGTCCAATTGGTGAAGGCAGACAATACAAATAAATAAGCGATTTTTTTTTTTGAGTTGAAGTCTCACTCTGTCACCCAGACTGGAGTGTAGTGGCCACTCCCGGCCACCGCAGCCTCAACCTGCTGGGCTCCGGCAATCCTTCTGCCTCAGCCTTCCAAGTAGCTGGAACTACAGGCGCGCGCTACCATACCCGGCTAATTTTTTCATTTATTGTAGAGATGAGATCTCACCAAGTTGCCCAGGCGGGTCTCGAACCCGTGGGCTCAGACAATCCACTCACTAAATAAGCGTTTTAAAAGCAATAGGTCGTCAGGTGTGGTGGCTTACGCCTGACATTGCAGCACTTTGAGAGGCAGAGGCGAGAGGATTGCTTGAGCCCAGGGGTTCAAGACCAGCTTAGGCCTCTTGGCAAGAACTCATCTCTACAGTAAATCAAAAAATTAGCTGGGCGTGGTGACGCACACCTGTAGTTTCAGCTACTTGGGAGGTTGAGGCAGAAGTATCCCCTGAGCCCAGCAGGTCAAGGCTGCAATGATTGTGAATGTGCCACTGCACTCCAGCCTGGGCCACAGAATGAGACTCCTACTAAAAACAAAAACAAAAGGCAATAGGTGCCTGTGGAGGAAAACAAAGGGAAGACTGGGGATAGGAGTGTTGCCAGTGCACTGCAGTTTTGTTTTTGTTTTGAGCCAGTGTCTTACTCTGTTGCCCACGCTGAAGTGCAGTGACGTGTTCACGGCCACCACAACCTTGATCTGCTGGGCTCAGGGGATTCTTCCACCTCAGCCTTCCAAGTAGCTGGAACTTCAGTGCACGACACCACATCTGGTTAATTATTTGATTTATTGTAGAGACAAAGTCTCACCAGGTTGCCCAGGCTGATCTCAAACCTGTGGACTCAGGTAATCCTCTCGTCTTTGCCTCCCAAAGTGCTGGAATTATAGGTGTGAGCCACCATGTCTGATGAACTGCAGTTTTATTTATTTATTTTATTTTTTTTGAATCAGAGTCTCAGTCTGTCGCCTAGGCTGGAGTGCAGTGGCACGCTTACTTCCACCACAGCCTCGACCTGCTGGGCTCAGACAATCCTTCCTCCTCAGCCTTCCAAGTAGCTGGAACCACAGGCATGTGCCACCACAGGCAGCTAATTTTTAAAAAAATTTATTGTAGAGATGAGGTCTCACCAAGTTGCCCAGGCTGGTCTTGAACCCCAGGTCTCAGGCAATCCTCTCACCTAAGCCTTCCAAGGTGCTGGGATTGTAGGCATGAGCCTCTGAGCATCCACACCCTGCTGAACTGCAGTTAGTTTATTTGTTTATTTATTTTAATTATAAAGTTGTGGGGTACAATTCAGGGTTAGGTATACAAACGGTGATTATGCAGGTACCCTTGTTGATGAGATATGCCTCTCCCTTCCTGACAGTTTCCCACTACTGCTAATCTCTTTCTTATAGTATTATAATTGTTCAAGGTCCACTTATGAGTGAGAACATATGGTACTCTGTTCTTTGTTTCTGTGATAGATCAGATCACTGAGTATGATCGACTCTAAATTCATCCAAGTTGCTGCAAAGTCTATATGTTTGTCCTTCTTTATGGCTGCATAATATTCCATTGTGTACATGTATCACATTTTAAAAATCCAGTCCAGTTTCGATGGGCAGCATGGTTAGTTCCATATTTTTGTTATTGTGAATAGAGCTGTAACAAACATACATGTGCAGGTATCTTTTTTGTAGAATGATTTGAGTTCCTCTGGGTATATTTCCAATAGGGGAATTGCTGGGTCATATGGAAGGTTAATTTCTAGTTCTTTCAGAAATCGCCAAGGAGGTTGTCTTCCAAAGAAGTTGCACTAGTTTGCATTCCCACCAGCAGTGTAGAAGCGTTTCTTTCTCTCTGCATCCTCACCAGCATCTGTTATTTGTTTTATTAATGATGGCCATTCTTACTGGGGTTAGGTGGTATCTCTTTTTTTTTTTTTTGAGTTGGAGTCGTACTCTGTCGCTCAGACTGGAGTGCAGTGGCCGCTCCCAGCCACTGCAGCCTCGACCTGCTGGACTCCAGCAGTCCTTCCGCCTCAGCCTTCCAAGTAGCTGGAACTACAGGCGTGCGCTACCACGCTCGGCTCATTTTTAAAAATTTATTTATTGTAGAGATGAGGTCTCGCCAAGTTGCCCAGGCGGGTCTCG